TAACATTAAGACAATCATTTTTTGTGATACAAGTTTTTCGCAATTTTATGTTTAAATATGAAAATTATGCATTATCTAATTAAATATGTTCTGATTTGCATACATTTCCAGAACAGAAATCCAAACATTGGATGAAGCCAGGTTTAAAAATCTGTTTCACTTTATTTACATATTAGAGCAAAAAGGTTTTTATAGAGGGGATTTTAGACATCTCTGTTTATCACTCCATAAATCAGAAAATACTGTCAACTACCATTAAAAAAAATTGAATTTCATCATGTTTTTAGGAATAAATTGTTTCGTAAATCAGGCTATGAATGCTACTATGTATGAACAAACTCCTCTGTAAAAGCCATCAGGATATAGATATAGATATATAGATAGATAAAACTGGAAGGTTTAGTGTATGTAAGTGCTCCTGAAATGGAGATTTCTGGCTCAGAGTATGAGAAAATACAAATTTTGAGAAAATTGCCCTATTTATTGAAATTGCAATCTACAGATGCAAATAGACAAAGTGTAGTAAACTAAACACCTAAATGTGTATTTTATAAGTTTTCTGTCCACTAGTCTGAAAGAAGACATGTTATAGAAGAAAAATAGCAATAGTAATGTTTTTGCCTGTAGCTGTAACATACACACACATCGGATTTCGCCAATTAAACAAGAGGGTTTATACTGTTTGTGGTCTGGATTATTAGGAGTTATGGAGAATATGGGTTGAGGCTTGATTTTACTGTCTCTCTTCAAAATGTGGATATTTTAATTAAATTGTACAAATCTCTTCAAGTCACTTTTTCCAAAGAAACAAAAAAAATGTATATGGAAGAGAAAAAGAGGAAGAAACAAGAGGAGGGGACACAAGGAAAATATGGTAAATTTCCAAGCAAAGATAAAACAAGTCAGACTAGAGAACATAGTAATAAGCACTAACGCCGTTTCCAGATTCATGATAATACAGAACAGACCATGGGCTTCTTTCTTTGTATGAATTCTTAATTAACAGCTCAGCAGCAAAATCAAAAAGCTGACAAATACCTTAGAATAAACGTCTGAATATACATTCCTCCGGCTGTATTTGTTGTAGAAGCTCTGTAACAGACGCTGTTTCCCCATGGTGTCGCAGAACAGCTCTGACACACAGCTCATCTATGAACCTTGAACAGTCATTATCAAACTCTTTCAGGACCATAAATTGTGAAACCAAACCACCTTGCACTGGCTTACCTAATCAGATAATATATATACACGCAGCAATATCTGTCACTTCACAACTTCCCAATTCTTCCCACAGCTGTGTTCCTCAATGTAGACAAGGAGTAAAAATAAAGTTAAAACAAGTCAAAAACAAAGACATGTGACTCACCCTGCTGCTCATGCTGTCATCTGACAGTCCACCCAAGTGTTCTTGCTTCACTGCAGTATTGTTCAGATCCCATGAAGTCCCTGTAAAACAGAGTTCCTGTCACATCTTATGACAAAACATCCACAGCACAGTAGAGGCATGAGGAAGCAGTGCCTCAGCACCACTTGCTAACAGGATTAATACAAGCAACTGCAGGTCATATTCTTGCCAGTCGAATCTGTATGGAAATAACTTTATGCAAAGACATGAAATTGCCAACAGGCTCAGTATGAGAATTATAAAATGTAAATTTTCAAGATGGAGTTCATCCCACAGCTACTTCTGCTTCGATTTGATACAAACAGCCTGTGCCTTGCCTGGGGAGACCAAACACTGCCAGGGTACCTTGTAGGTAGTATTGCCGCAGCTTGGGGTTTCTGATATGGGGGATGTGGTTGAGCGGCCGGCCCACAATGGGCTGTTGCTGACGCTGGCTGCTTGCTGTGGACTCCTGCATCACTCTTGCCCGAGGCTGAATCTCCCAGGGCCGCTTAGCGAACTGTGGAGGCTGAGAGATGCCAGGAGGAAGCTTGGAGCCCAGCCTGAAAGAAGAAGAAGAAGAAACAGATGAAATGCCTATTGCACTATATTTAAGTAGGTTACTCATCAGCACACACATACAGTTTGATTTTATTCTTGAACACACTCATAGCATGTCATAACTGAGTAAGTGCACACTCCTGGTTAGTTAGTTCATTTTTACCTTGGAAAACTGTTTTGTGTTCACCACATAGCGTTAAACACAATACAGGACAATAGAGGAGCAGTGAGTGTGAACCTTAACAGTAAAGCTGTGGACCATCAACGTGTTTCATGAACTCCGCAGTCTCTGCTACTCAGCTTGAAGTTCAAAGATCTAGAATTCTATTAGTGATTATTTTAATTATCAATTATTTTGCTGATTATTTTCTCAATTAATTGATGGTTGGTCTTTAAATATCAGATAATGACCATCACAACATAATGATTCTGCTTGTTTTGTCTCCCAAACAGTCAAAATCCCAAAGATATTCAATTTAGTGTCACATAAGACAGAGAAAAGCAGCAAATGCAAATGTTTCAAATATGTATTAAACCATTATTCAGTTATAAAAAATTGTCGATTAGATTATTTCTGTACTGCTCCTTAAAGTCAGGAATGAACTTCCACAGTCAAATATAAATGGTGTTGTAGGGTAGATTTTCCCTTTAATAGCAGGATTCACGGATTCACAGCTTATCATATATAAAGTGTGAATAACTGTATAGAGCAACATTCACAGTCTGATCAGTTATTTATAAGGGAGTGGGAGTAGTCTGCGAGATGGCTGGGGAAGTGAGTTCCAGGCTTGGTGGAGTCTTTCAGTGACAGCTGTTGAAATTAGCTGGTGAAAATGTGCATTTTGTGCTAAAAATCACAGACTTAATCTCAAATTTTGTCACCTTCTAATGAAAGAATGAATTGTTGCGTGCTTAAATCTGAGAAGCAAATGCCACCCAAACTTGTCACATGTCTGCTTGGAGCTTTCTCTTTTGTATTTCTTTCCAGTAATCCATGTATTTAGAGGTCTGACCTGCTCTTAACGTTGCCAAAGTAGCTGTTCCTGCTCTTGTCCCTCTTGGGCTCGTGGTCCATGGATCCTAAAGTCTCCAGCCTCCTTACAGACTGAGCCATTTTCTGTCTCTCTCTTTAGTCTGAAGCTTGCAGTGGTGGCAGATGCAGAGGGATGAGGGGCTCAGCTGGCATCCTTCCTCCTCCTTTTATTCCCCATGCCTACCTCTTGCCCCAGTTTACAGCACCTACATAACACAGGGAATCATAAAATATGAGCTGATCTTACAAACATCAGCCAGGCAGGGGGAGGGAGCAGGGCTAGTAAAAGCTCTACTGTACCTGCAGCCACATGACCCCATAAGGAAGTGAGCTAGACACTTAGCAACATAATGGAGCCAGCTTTCCAATTCAATTAAACTGTCAATCAATCCATATAATTGGTAAGTGAGTGTGCTTGCAATTGGTGTGTTTGAGCTTGTGGGTTCAAGGGTGCTGACCAAAGGGAACAAATTAGGTGCATTTAGCACTTCTGAATTACTTCATATTCCATATTCCTACGATAAAGCTAAAAAGGATATTAATACAATTCAATATGTTGCCTCTAAAACGGATTAGGCACTGTATTTCCTGACTGTAAAGTACACAGCTGCATTTAGACATGACATCAGACTATTTTCATATCATGTCATAGGAATGCACCAGGCTCACATCCTCCAAAAGCCTAATTTCTGCAACTCACACCGCATTAAAAGGCTTGCATCCCTTTGACTGGTGATTTCCCTGTCATCTCTGGTTACCAGCAACAACAGGGTTAGCTTAGCTGTATCCTGCATCCTCCAAGAGCTCCTAACATTACTCAGTCATATGGCTAAAAAATGATAACAAATTGGTTCCTGTAAATGCTGCTGGTGAACCTATCACGGTGGAGGAAGTAAGCATTTCAGACGACATTACAGAATAATCGAAGCAGCCGTTATGGCAGGAAAAAAATATTACATCAGCAGCTCAGCAGAGATGAAGAATTCGCAGGAGCAGGAAATAGACAGAGCAGCTTCTTAACTGACCTGTGTCATGCCCAGGGATGGAGACGGGTGGCGGTCATATGAGCGCGTTTTCATATTGCAGTGTTATGATATCACTGCAGACAACAGTTACAAGTTCGATATTCAAGCTCCGCCCTGTGCTCAAAGGACCAACTGTCAAGATAGTTCCTCCCCGGCCGGCAGACGTTCAGGTGTCGGAAATGGGAGTGAATCATCTTGCATCCATGTCTCAAGTGTGAAGATTAAGTCAAATTATGTTACATTTTTAGATAACACTTACTAAATTAAACTAAATTGAAAAAATTGAATAAACATAAATGCATTGAGTTAAATTAATTACATTAAGATGATAGATTTAATTAAATTAATTTATATAGTATATATCAAATTTACTCAATTAAATTACAGTTAAATTTATTGAATTAAGAATTGAATTAAAAAACTTAAAATTGGTTAAATAAAATAAATTGAATTTTTTTTTTTTAATTTAGGCTACATTATAGAATGATTTACACAAACAAATAAAAATTAAATTAACTCAATTAGTTACTCAATTAATATAAATGCACTGTATTTAATTAAGTCAAATTTACTTGATTAAATTATTTTACATTATATTTCATTAAATTACATTAAATTTGACTGAAATATCTACATTGAATTTGCTCTGTCAATTTAAATGTACTGTACTAAATTAAATTAAATGTACTTGATTAAATTAGGTTGTGTGTTTAATTTCATTACAACATTTCAGTTATAAAACAATTAAATCTTTCAAATCAAAATAAATTCACTTAAATTGGGTTAAAATAATTAAATTACATTACTATTTTTTAGACAATTTATTTAATTACAGCATATAAACCCTCTATAAATTGTCCCTTGTTAAGACATGAAGTATTCAACACTGCTCACCTCCACCTCTAGGAGGCGCGCTAGGGCGAGTTCTGATAAAGTGAAGTCATGAGGCTGTAGCCAATCAGATCACAAGAACGAGAGGCATAGGTTTCCGGCCTGACGAACGAAAACATAGCTGTATTGTGAAAGACGAAGAGGAGAAGCCGCTACTCGCAAAGAATCTGATGTTGTAGCTTTCCAAGAATCAGCCATAATCTACCGTAAGTTGTGCTCTCGCGGTGTTCATTGCGTTTCGTGAGTATAAGTGAAACACACTGAAAAATGACGGTCTGCGGCTGAGGGTCAAATCGGGGGCCGTTGCTGGTGCTGCTAAAGCTAACTGACGGCCCCGGTGTGTTTGATGCCCGTAGCAACCGGCTAAAGATGATCAAAGCTGTTCACAAATCACCACTCTTTCTCTTTCCTGGCATTAACCATCTTCTTATATCGAAGGAAACGTTATAGTAACCTGTAGCGGTGCCGTTAACACGGCAGATTTAAACTTTAGGTGCAGCTGGTTAGCACCGATGATTGCTGCCTCGCTCCTGCATATGTTGTGAGACGATAAAGGCGAACCATGACTGGCGAGCTCGGCAAACCTTTTAGGGCTACAGTTTATAATATATTTTAATTTATGAATTAAGTTTTTCGATTGTTAAGCTAAGAAAGTCAAGATTGTTGAGTTTCTTTTTTTCAAAGATCAGGCCTTTATAGCGATATCTTATTGGTTGTGTTTGAGACGCTTTTACTTTATTAGAGTTCTTATATTTTATGCAGCTTCAAAGTGGTAGATACTTCTTCCACCACTGGATTTTTGTATACATGGTCTCTTGCAAAACATAGCTTGATCGCAACGAGATTACCTGGTTAAAATAAGGTTATGTTATAAACAATTAATTGTGCCAAAATCTCAAATATTACTCTGGTAATAACCTAAGAATATAATGAAACGATATATATATTCTCCAATGACACAGAATCGCAAAAACAAAGCACATTGTACACATTCAGAACCCGCACTGCCCATATGCTTTTTTTCCCGAAAAATGACTACAAGACATGTCAACAAATAACAAGTAACTAATTATCTAAATTTAGATTGATTGATCTTGTGTCATTTAAGTAACTATTCCTAAACTATTATTTAAGTATCTAGTAAAATTTTGCTGTGTTTAAGTTCTCCTCCTGCATGTTTTTCTCAACAGATGCTCTAACTAATCACTCATTTATATCCCAAGAGTTAGCAGTCAGACAGACATGGCATCTGTTTGCTGAACTGCTTCATCTTCAGCCACTACTAGCACCAAACATTGGTGTGCAACTTCCCAGTGAATGAGACAGACCCACCATCACCATGGAAACAGAAACAGTAAGTTTGCTTTCTCACCGTTATTGATGTCTTTACTTAACATTGTTTAACTTAAAACTGCCTTTTCCCCCACGTGATTATGCAGCAGTGCAAACAGTGCATTAAGCATCGATAAATGTATTACACTTTGTGGAGAGACTGACAGTGTTTTGTAAATGTTCTGCAGGAAGTTATTCCTATCTGGCAGAATAAGCCTCATGGATCCACCCGTAGTGTTGTGAGAAGAATAGGTTCTACTCTCCCACTCAAACCTCCCCAAAGGGCATGTTTCCAGGTACATATCATATTCAATGTGATGATTTTTTTATATCATAATAATATTGCCCTATTATTGTCATAAACATTTTAACGTATGCTACTTTGACTTGTGCCCTTGTGCATTAGGAACTACCGGGCCTACCCTCTCTTCGGCCTATGGATGGCCCTATGGTTCCAACCTTGGCAGACATAGCCTGGATTGTTGCAGATGAAGAGGAGACATATGCCAGAGTGCGGTAAGCATACAGTCAATCACTATTCCTTGTTGTAGTGCCAGTCACTTCTCCCTAATTGCATTGTCCCAGACTTTCAGACTTTCCAACTTATTGGGTGCACATGTGCAGACTAAAGAAATGTAGAACAATGTTATAATGTCCCATTTTTACTGATAGTGTGTCAGAGTGGTGTTGATTCAGCTCTGTAGTGAATTTTTTTTTTCCAGCCATAGTCATTTTAAGAACAGACCGTTATAAACTTAACAAAGATAGGAGTTATTGTGTTGGATTGCATTAGACTGTACAACTGCACATAATAAATGGTTGGCAGGTGTAGATTAGTACTGGGTCTTTGTCTGGGCAGTAGGTAGAAAGAAAGTCCATGCAACTTAGAGTAAAAGCTAGACTCAGACCCAATTGTTTTATTGTAATAAACAACTCTGCTTGATGACACTAATCCCCCACTCTTCTTTTTTCAGGAGTGACACACGTCCTCTAAAACACGAATGGCGGCCCACGCCTCTCCTGGTGCTCCACAGGAACTCATCTGTGCCCAACTTCCGCCGTGAGGGTAAAAGGGTGGAGGGGCTTAGGAAGCCTGGGGTTACAGCACTAAATCGTACTACAGCACTGCAGGACGAGCTCAGCAGACTCCGTGCACAGATCGCCAAGATTGTGGCAAGTGATTCTGGTAGGTTACCCAAGCAGAAATTACAGTATGCACTTGTTCACTGTAGATATTGAATCTGACATTTGGATAGTGGTAAAATAACAGGGACATAAGAACTAGTTACACATCTAACTTTACACTCTTGTTCTCTGATTCATAAAGCTGCTTTGAGCAGTATAGATTAAGGATTGCCTTTTTGAGGCTATCTGAGTGTGTTTTACTGTCTTCATATGACTGATTCTTTTTTTGCCTGGTCAGCTGCCCTGATTCTCTTAAAGCTCTTTGATACTAAGATGTCTTGGCATCAGTTTGTAGGTCAGTGACTAAAGATAATCTCTGCAGTTCATTGGCAATTGTATGATATTCATTGAATATTTCAACAGGGGTTTCATGAGAAGTATGAGGTATTGTATTGGGCTGCAGACTAACAGTTTCTGGGAGTAGAGCTACTGCAAACAACAGCAGCATACCCATACTCCTGCTCTGACAGATAAAAATAGAAATGACATTTGGACTCGATATGTTTCTCTTAACACTGTCCCACTCAAACTCCACTTAAGAACAATTACAGATCATCTCATTCCTCTCCTCTGCTTTGCTTGTTTCTGTCAGGCTCTAACCCCCTGACTCCTGACCTGCTTTCTCCCGATGACACAAGTATGAGCTTCTCCATGGCGCCTTTCGAGACGGCGTCCTACCAGCCAGCCGCCACGGCTGCTGCTTCTTTTGTCATCAGTGACGTCACAGAGGAGGAAGAAGAGGAGGAGGAAGAGGAAGATGAGAAAGATGTGGTCTCTGTGGTGTCAGAGCTGGTCCCTGACCCTCTGCCGCCTGTTTCCATGACGGCATCAGCAACCTTTGACCTGGACAGGCCCAGCATGGACTTCCGTGAAGCTGAAGAGGATACGGTGTCGCTGTCAAAATCCACCAGCTTTGCTGACGTTATGGACATCCTGAAGGACATGAACCGCATGAAGATGAGCAAAGACAGGTACAGATTTCCGGTTAATTAGAGTTTTCCAGGTGCTAGCAGGATTTGCCTGTTTTCAGTCTTTATGCTAAGCTAAAGACTGCTAGCTGCAGCTTCATATTTAACAGACAGATACAAGAGTGGCAAAAGAGAATAAGCATATTTCTCTAAATATCGTACTATTCCTAAGAACATTTCTTCATCAATATGCTTACATTTACCTATGAAATTAAAATAACATTGTACTCCATTTCATACATAACCGGATTATTATATACAATCAATCAAGTATTTTGATATTGCTTAACAGTTTTAACATCAGGTTGTATTTTCTATTGTTTGTCTTTGCAGGTACAACAGAGGCTGTACATCCCTTAGAGAGGAAGACTCTGCAACTCTGATTTCAGAGGCTTTGAAGAAAAAGTTTGTCTTGAAGGAAGAAGATACTGCTGCTGTGAAACGGAAGTAGCCCAATCACGAGTTTATCATCACTACCCGATCCTGCTGTTCCATGTAAGTCAGGATAGGATAGTAGCGTTTTTGTATTTCTTTTAAGAATTTATCTCTTTTTGTTTTTTTAAGTATTTTGTATAATCAAACCTTTGATGTAAGTGGTAGGTCAATGTTTTCAGTGGCAAAATGTTTTAGATCACTTGTTGGTTCTTAGTTGTTGTTTTTTTTTCTCTCCCTCATTATTTTTAGGCCTTTGCCTGTGGAATATGTACCCATGGATCCACAACCTTGCTACTCAGACCCAAGGCAATAGCTGTGTGCCAGAGTTAGAACAAAAAAACACTTTGTCCCAGACATTCAAAACCAAATGTGAACTTCACAGGGCTGGTGAAGTATGAGGTGGAACGGCCAACTCTTGGTAACAATAATCGGTTTCAGCACTGTGTGGCATATTGCATTCATCTCTGAAAAAAAAAAAAAAAAAAATTTTATGTTCAAATTTATTTTCAATAAGGATTCAACAGACTGGTGCCAGTGCTGTCCATCCAGGGCATTGTGTTGTAGGAGGGCGCTGAAGGGGCTGACATCCAAACTATCATGACAATATTTTTGGACTTAAATTGAGGATTTCCCCTTTTTAAGGAGCATTTTATTCATCCTGCTATGAAAACAGTCCTACAGGATTTTTTTTTTCTTTTTTGAATTTTCCATAGAAGAAATGCAAATAAATGCTTTTGTTTTTTTCTGTTGTGTAAAGAAGTCCTCTAACATACTTGAAAATATTTTTCAGACAAAGAGTGCGCATGCAGAGACGTACTGTAGCTTATCAACAGTTTGTGAGGGGGAAAACAAGTTCAGATCTTTGCTGTTAATATTTGCAATTCAGTACTGAGTTTGCAAATGTGCACAGCATCATGTATGTTGCTTGCTCTTATGCCTGTCCCCTTGTTTGTGATTAACATAGATTGGTAGTCACTGAACCATATGACACTGATTTTAAAATGAAATACTGATACAGTTTGAAGAGTGAACTGCATGATCTATAAATGAAAGGATGTGTGTGAGTGAAATTTGCACCTGCCATTGTTTGCAGCTCTTTGTATTTCCAGTAAAGGCAGCAACAGATACAAGTACAGGTCTCTTACTAATTTCCCCCAAAACCGCTTCTATGATGTTACTTACTGATATGAAATCAAAGAGATGATTTCAGTTTGAGCAAAGATAACTGAGCTGTTTTTGAGAGTGCTTTTCCTTCAATCTGTATGCAGACTTTTGACAAAACCATGGGTAAAATGCTTGTGTGTGTCACAATGAATATTCTTGTTGGCGCCTTACCACAAAACTTATGCCTGTTCCAATGCCTGATTTTATTCCCATATTAGCTCAAAGTGCCATGGGTTTGTTTTAATCAGCCCACCCCGTAATGCCTGCCCTTTCTTCTTCCTGAATGTGCCCTCCATCCTCAACTTTATTAAGTTCCCCATGTCTTCATCCCACAAACATACAATGAACGACTTTGTTTAGAATCAGTTGTGAGAGTGGGTTATTGCTGAATGTTAAAAATAACCACTCGCATCAAAATACTTTTCTCACTTTTACTTACACTCATATCACTCCTGTTTTTCATCTGTCATATTTATGCCTACATGACTTGGAATCCTTTAGTGTAGTTTTGCAGTGTGAAAAGTTACTGCTAACTTGTGTGTTTGAACTGAACAAGAATGTGCCCATCCGTGTGTCATTGTATGCAGTGGAGTTGAAGTATGTTTTGTCTTGTTAGAAATGGCGCTGAACGAGTCTCTGGTAATTTTTCTCAACAGTTAACTTCCTCATCAGCCAAAGTGATGAAGTATAAACTGATAAGCTGAAATACTATATGCAAGTTGAAATATATTCATTGTATGTCTGTACTTGAGATGGTGAAACTTGCACAACTTCAGTTGAGGATTTTTCAGAGAATTTATTGACTTTGTTTTGAATTTTGACTGTTTGTGCGTGCTGGTTTGAGCGTTTCTCACCATTGTACCTCTGTGTAGGGTTGAGCCCACCACCACCACCTGTACGTTTATTTTTTTGTCTTGTATGGACTTGTAAATAAAGATGGGCTGATGTTTTGAAACTACAACTGTTCTGTCTGTGGAAACTGTTGCACTTGGAACCACCGTGCAGTGACAGTTGTCACCAGAGTGGGGCAGTACAGGTGAACAAAACAAATGATTTGTTTTAGTTATTTAATTTGCCATATAAAGTAGTGAGCACGTTAACTCCCCATCACAACTGTGACATGTATCACATAGACATAGACCACCAGAGAGCAGTGGTTTGGATTATTAGCAGTAAGTTGGGGGTAGATGTACTTAAGTACTGTAATTTTGAGGTACTTGTTTACTTCAGTATTCCAATTTTATGCTCTTTTATACTTCTACTTCACAGCATTTCAGAGGGAAATGTACTTTTTTGACAACTATAGTAAGTAGTTACTTTTCAATATGAATTTACATGCAAAACTTAAATTAAAAAATGTGACACATAGATTACACTGTCTACATGAAAAATGTCCTGCATTCAAAACTTCAGGTATGGCAGTAATAGCAAAATGGTCTTAAAGAATCAAAAGTAAAAGTGTCAATTATACAATTAAATTTACTGTACATATTGTATATAATTGGTTTATTATTACTGATGCAGTAATATTTACTCAGAATTTTAATTTTGCCATGATTAAGCAACTTTAACTACTTATTGTTGTATTGTAGGTTATTTATAACAATGTTTATTACCTTACAAAATGATCATATGTTTTACATGTGAAACGTTTACCTATAAATAGTAACGACAGTTGTCAAATAAATTGTCGAATAAAAGGTTTTTTCCTGAAATTAAGAAGGAAGAAGGTAAATTCAGTACTTGAGTAAATTTACTTAGTTACACTCCACTACTGGTACCAACACTCAGCATCTGGCCCATTAAGCTAAGCCTAAAGCCTTCAGCCTAAAGTTTATGTGCCTGGAACATCAAGTCAATCTTCATTTTTCCTCTGAATAAAATCTGAGACAGTCATAACATGTAGTACCTTTTCACTAGATCACACCACGGGGGGCCTGTACTCTGTAATTTCCACGATTATTGTTAACCCACATTCTTTCACATTTCCTGTTCTTTCCCAAGATGATCCAGCCCCTCAGTGACTCACAGTCTATTTTCTGTGTGAGTCCTTGGCCTACTTTGTCCCTCTTCACCTCCACGATGGACTTCCTACCTATTTTAGATACAGAGAGATGTCTGTGGAGAGCTCAATTAATAGGGCTCAGTGTCAAAATGAGGCTCTGTTAAACCTATAAATACAGGCCTTTAGTTCAAAGTGACATTGACACATTTTCATCACTGAGACTTGTGAGAAAGAATTTCAATGGAGTTAATACACATTTGAATTGGCAGGTGCTAACAGTTCCCTGGAGCAGTTGAAAGGTTAGTGAAATACTGAGTAAAATTTAAACAAAAAATAAAAATGTAAAGGTTCCATATTGTAACACTTACAGTTATATCTGTACCATTTATGTGCGTCTATTAAACACTTCTGTTATGGTGTTAAAAAAAAAAAGAAAAAAAAAAGTGTTGATTTGATCCCACTGGTGGTAATCCTCATGGTAGCGCTAGGGGAAAAGTAAGGAAATTATGAAATCATAGGATTCGTCATTAAGGGAAAAATTTCACACCTATCCGTCCAATGTTGAGATATTTCATCCCATACTAAAAGTGGTGGACCGACCGGCCAACAGACTGACATCGGCGTCGACAACATTTTGGTCTAAACTTCAGACATAACACTCAAAACAATGACTTTGTTCCATCTGGATGTGTCTCTTCAGCAGTGCCTCTGTAGTTTGGCCAAATCCAATCCCACCAAGTAGAGCGCTATCTCCACCCAAGTTCCCGCACTGTGATAAGTTGCAGTGAAGCAGCAAACACGCCAACAGGTAGATTATCTGTCATCCTGACTGGTTGGCATGGCTCCTCCATCTCCCTGAACCGCTGAGCTTTTCATCACTGTCTCCTTACGTGGCTGGAAGCTCTTCATAAGGAGACCTGTCATTGGATACAGAAACTCCCCCCAAATGTCCTAGATGTTTTCTCATGCTGCCCAGAGGCTGTCAGGCTTCGAGCCCATTTGTTACTTTTGACTTTCCCCTCATGAAAAATATGATTAAAAGAATTGCTTTTTGGTTTCCCTTCATGGAGTGAGAATTTTCTTGTGCTGTCTGAATGGATGAAGTTTGACTTTGGACAGAAACATTGCTAGGGTTTTTGGTTTTGATTAATCTATCTGACAAATGTGCCGAGCACTGCCGCAGCAGGGAGGGTAATTCTGAGCTATGGCTGAGCGGAAGCAAAACGAGGGGAAGACGGATCGCACCAACAACTATCACAAAGAGCAGGTGTTACACAAAACGTGCCACAGTTTTACACATAGGCACAGTCGCATCTTTCGTGGGAAGGGCAGGGAATGGTTTCATTCATGGTTCACCTCTCACATCTCCTGAAAATAAAAGTTAGTGCTCAAGTTGCAGGGAGATGGCTGTGTCATCATCATGACTTTATTAAAAGCGCTCGTTGTGTTTAGTGTTGAACAAACATCAGATTTCCAATCACAGCCTTAAAATGCTTGTTTCTAAGTCAATTTAATTCAAAACATTTTGTCTGCAAAATAGGAACTTTTGTGCATTGAGACAATATCAGTTAAGTGTTCTTGTTCATACCATGTTGACTGAAAAGATTTTTTATTTGAACTGTAACTGCAGTTGATTCAAAGTAGGTTTTTGTATCTCAACCATATACCAACCTCCCTGACTCTAACTCACTGTTGAATTAACAAATTTTACTATGTAGTATAATTTTTAACACGAGTGAGTTCAGAAAATTCTTTCCTTGCTGCGGTTGTGAAGCTTTTCTGCATAGAAGTTACAGTTTTCTAGACTGAATAGCCTTCAACTTTGGAAATACCAGAGGAAATACCAGAGCAAAAGTGCTCTGAGCTTCATGATGATGAAAACAGCTCCCAAACTCTGTCCTCCTCATTTTCTACACATGAGAGGAAGCAACCTGAGAGCACAGCGGGAACATTAGAGCTCCCCTCTGTTTATCCAAATACAGTCAAAGTCTCATCATCCTCTTCATTTGACCAAAAAAAGTCACTGAAATAAACCTGTCAAATACAGTTAATGTGGGATTTATTTAACCGTGGCAGCAATATGTTAAGTATTAAGAAACACAATCATACTTTGACTTCACACCAACTTAATGTGGGCAACACATTTCAATTATGCCTGAAATAGAAGAGACTTCCCAGAATGTGTAAAAACGTAACAGCTTTTATGTGTTTTGTCTGCATGTTCAGTTCGAGTGTCATCTCCCATGTTGTATCGTAGCAACAACCGGCTGAACGAAGCCGAGACCAAGTGGATGACAAAGGTCTGGGGGAATACAAGCGTTGCATCTGCTGCTCCCATCCACCCTCCCCCAGTGTCACCCACGCATCCGCCCGCGTCATCAAGACACAAAACTAACTTGTGAGTCACAACAGGAACAGCTCCACAAGAGCGGATGCAGCGCCATTGAATTTACTGTTATTTCTATTTTAGGGCCTTTGTAGGGTTTCTGTCTTGTTAGTGGGCTTGCCCTCTAAACATGATTGCTTTGTGATGCAAAGTAAATTGCATCCCTAAGTGGAACTGTTGATAGCACTTAAGTGTGGTGTTGCGCTGTCTCGCACTGTAACACTGTGATGAACCTGGTGCTGCTTTTACAGTGTTGTGTTTAAATGCAACATGCTCCCTGTTAAGATGATGAAAAATGTGTGTGAATCTATCAAATATATATCAGACATGAAATAGACTCTTTTTTAATCTGCCCTCGATTTTGTGTAAAATTCCTCTTGAGCCTCTTTCAATCCTCTTTCTCTTAACACTGTAATACAATAGTTGGACATTATGGGAAATACTTTTCGGGAATTTACGGGAAAGGAGAAGAAGAAAGGCGTAATGAGGAGGGATTACAGATGAGGCTGATGGGATCTGTATTAGGACAGTACAGCACCCAGATATCTGTGGTATGTTCAAATCCATCATTTTACACCATAAATTGGAGCGAGTCATCATCATGCATCTTGCTTTAGCCTGCCAGCTCCTGCTACCTTAGTAGGAAAATATCTCAAAAGTATCCTCAGGACAGGGTCAGCTTTCTATATTACTGGTCAAAAGAAGGTAATAAACACATATTTGGTAAATCAAGGAAAGAAATATGACACCAGGTATGAGACTGTTAATAGGAATTCACCCAAAGAGATGGAGTCACTGTAAAGATGGGGGTGGAGTCCTTTCTTTCCTCTTTTCTTTCCTCCTCATTCTCTTTCCCCCTCAGCTCACGAGTCACGTTTTGATAAGAAATTGATAAGAGCTGGGTTGTAAGTCCCAGATGGTCCCCCAGTAATATGCCCTATGTGGCAGTCATTCATAAATGATTCAGTTTCTGTGGAAAAAACTAAATCACAGAAGCCAGTATGCTCTCTAAGTACTGTACACATATTTATGATACACTAGAGATGAATTTATAATGACTGCTTTAAATGGTGGGTTTCCAAAATGCTTTTTGGTCAAAAGGAAAAATATTTGATTTAATGTGAGCTAGTAATATTCAAGGAAAAGATCAAAAGTAAACATGAGCTTCCTTGAAATGGCCTGCAGGTGGGAAATTAACTATATTGAATAAACAATTACAAGAGCCCGTGTCACAAAATGATGTTTGTTCTACAGCTGATCTCGCTGACGACTTTTCAAATGAACTACAACTGGAACTAACCACAAAGACAACGTAGGGTCTGCAGATATCCACTTTACCTGGTTGGTGATCCAGCCATTTTAACATTAATTTATGGTTTACCACCAGGCACATTATTACTCAGCAGCAAACATTCTAACATTATAAGTAAATCTTTATTGGCTACAACCACAGATGAAACAATTAGTGCCAAATATATGATTAAAAAGAAAGACCAGAATAGATGAAAAGAGCACAGATTCACAGAGCACAGTATGTCGTCATCATCTGCACATTTCACTTCAAAGA